TTCTGAAAAGTATTTAGAAATATGTATTTATTGATCTAGAGAAACAGCTATGATAATTTTGGTGTTTTGGAGACAATTCAGAAGCATAAATTGGCAAGGCAAATATTTGCCATACATGATAGTTTATAATAATAGAGAAAATTGATAGAAGCATAATTGCAGAGTGATTAACCACCTTACTGTTGATTGCAGAACCTCTTATGTTGCACCAGTTCTTTTTAATGTTCCCTGATGTTTCAGACTCATAGTTATCTGTTGCTAGTAACAGACACATTTACTTGCTAGAGAGATGTTATGTGGAGAATGTAGGTTGTACTTGGGGAAAGACATCTAACTCAATTTTTGCAAGATAATTCAGCAATTCCTCTAAATGATTTTTTCCCCAAAGTGATTATCTCAGCTGGTACTTCAAAGCATAACATAAGCCCTTCTTGTTGGCAAAAAATTCACAGAAATCTATAAAACCTATAGTGTTTCATATTATCAAAATTTGTTGAGCTTTCTATTAATGCCTTTCTAGTCATTGTATAGAGTCACATATTCATTTATGATTTCTAAATAGGGAGCTCACAATCTAAATTTGGTCTAAACATAATGAAAATATGAAAATTCATAAAAATTAAAATTACATTCATGTGATTAGTTAAACAAAGTAAGTGCATGTTTCCTATTGAAACGATTTACAAGTTGACAGTGGTATCAATCTTAAAGAAAGAATTTAAATCTTTCACTCACCAATCTTTACAATTATTTTTTAGCTTTATAGGGTTAACCTTATTGGGGTTGATTAAATTCAAGCTGAGATCTTTCATAAAGACTCAATGGAGGGTCCAGATGGCCCAACAATACCTCCTTTTGTGAGAGAAAATAACTTGAAAATTTTTGTCTAATTAAAGTATTTGTGCTGGTGAGACCAGAATGAATTGTTATTCTTTTAAAGGAGTCTGTGTTACTAATAATCTTTATAAAATACTAATTATTTTAAAATAGAGTGCATAATTTTAGTTATATCCTAGGGCCACAGTGGCACAAACATGACATTTTGAAGCTAGACTCTAATACCATCTTTGGGATTTCACTCTGAAAATACAAATCTAGAGAATCAGAAGAATAAGGATCTGTGGAATAAAATGCCAGGAGAGTCACTGCATTGCTTACCTCCTGTTCCAGTCTCATGCTCACAGTTACCTTATTTTTTGTCAAAATATTTTCTGTAGTTACAACCAAGACATTATTAGCACCTTTTCTTCATGTCGAAAATATCATTGGTAGCTATAAAAAGATTTGAGGAAAGCCCTTAAGCACATCATCTCAGCAAATGACTGCTATGGTTATTGATATACCATGATTTGTCTACCTGCAGGAATAACACCTCATCTTAACCTGCCTTTCTAGTCCCGCATTTCTAACTGTACGAGATAGGGAGAAAGAGAGAATTCCAGGTGTTAGGTGGGGATAACATGGAAATGAGTTGGGAAGTGCAGTCAGAAACTGGATAACAAACTTATAAGTGCTTTTAGTATATTTCGTTATTTGCAGCATTATTTTCCAAACTTTTTGTGTATTTTGTTTGCAGTCAAGAAGATATTCTGAGATAATTTATTCTCCAAAAGCCTGTCTTGTATCAGACAGGCAAAAGTGTTTATCACTCTTGTCATGAGTAGAAAGGTCCCACATGTATTTGACTTTTCACATGTTCTCAGTTGAGACTACAGAAACCAGAGTTGTTATGATCAAAGATTTCCAGCAGGGGGTGTAGCTACTTCTATAGGGTAAATTCTTTTGAAGCCACTTCACATTCAAGCATTTGAATATTGAACGGTTACCCCTCACAGGAGAGACCAGAATGATAACATATTTTACGACTGTCACCCCTTTTTGATTCAAAAAAGAACATGCATATTAATACTTTATTAGGATATGTTGAAGAAGTAGAAATTTGTGGAGAGAATATTTAAATTAAAAATCTAAAGTGCCTGACTGAAATCTTTATTCTGCCATTTTTTTCAAAGTAAATGGAGAACAAAGTTTCAGATTTTAATTATCCAGTACAGCAGTATAAGTGCTTAAATTTTTTATTCTAGATAAGGAGAGAAGTCGATCTGAGAAGGCTTGGGAATATTTATTCTACCTCTCCCTCACATTTGCACATGTACATATAAAGAAAATAAATTCGTTATTTTCTCAAAATATACCCTTTTGGGTGGGGAGGATGAGTGTTTTAAAGCTTTTTCTCTGAAGCCACAGCTACTTATCAAGTTTGAAAAATGACATTGTATCCTTTTCCCTCTGTTCTTTAATGCCTTTTATTTGTGGGTATATAATGTAGATATAAGCATTGTTAAACACAGAGTATTGGCCCCCAAATCCTATTTTCAGATTTGTACTGGTGCAGAAAGCTGTATATTTCATTTTTCAGAAAAGCAACATAAAAATGATAAAAGTGATAACTTACTTGTATGTAGCTTTAGATTATTAGTATTAATAAGAAAGCCATACATTTCCAGATTCCTTAAATCTAGGTGGATGTAGGAATAAAAATAATGTCATCTATGAAATTAACATTTAAAATACTTTATTTTAAAAATACTTTCTAGTGTCTTCATTAAGTGAAAATATTTCAAATCTTTTCTTCCAGTTTCATGTTTTGTAACTGAAAACTACAGTTTCTAAAGTTAATTTTTGCTTTCAAAGATCTGATTTGACTTTATATTGATACTCTACATGTCCATGATTAAAAGTTTTCTGGGAAATAACTTTTAAATTATATTTAGGTTGGACACCTATATAGTAACTAACATTTTACTCAGATGTTGGTTTCATGTATTTTAAGCTTTTAGTGCAAAGACGAAAACATGTATTTAAATATATTAGCTTTCCAATCTTTCTAAGTGACATACCTAAGGTATTAGTAGCACGGTTTGAACTCCTTTCTCCAATTCCTGTCTCTATTTTTTCCTATTTTCATTACAGGCTTTTTTCAATGCCCTTTCCCTTGCCTATAGTTTGTCACTCGACAAATAAAGCATCTATAGTCTTTAACTTAGCCTTATTTGATCTGCCTGGTAGCATTCAGACACAAGGGAGAGGCTGGAATTGGAATTTTGTTAAAATTGAGGAGTAAGAGATACATAGAAAAAACAGAAATGTCTTTCTAGCTTTTAAGTTTACCTTTGAAAATACGGAGAATGAATGGGCAAGGGAGAAGGAACAAATGAACAGAACTTCTGCTGGAATATTGTGACAGATTTACCGACAAATATTTTCTAACAGATTTTTACCAACAGGCATTTTTTGTTTTCTTTACTAATAGACTATAAACATACTTCTGTTTGCTAGCAGCTGCACCGTTATAACACTAAAAAGCAACCTTGGCTAACTCCAGTACCTTATGTAACATCAGAAATAATAACTTGAATTTTAAAGAGCTTTTATATGTTAACTTTACTGATAAACTTTTTTCAATGCGGGAAATAAATCTTTCCTAAAGAGAAATTGTCCCCAAATTACTTTTTTCTTTTAGACTTAACAAATGCAGTGAGATTTGTGTTTTTACTCATTCTTTTATGTGCTGACAACTACTTTAAGACCTCTCTATAAGTAAGATTCTGGTGACCTTGGGAGTCACAGGACCCTCAGTTTCTTTAACGTTGAAAAGGAAGGCCGTGGTTTTTTACAAGTCTTCCTATACCAGTCAATGCACAAATAGGAAATACACGGAAAGCTCAGTGTGCACCCAAGCTTGTGAAATTTCTAGAGGTAAAAAAGATACTAATATATGTATGGAAGTATAATACAAGCCATGCAGCTGATAAAGTTGGGATAGTAGTGGTGTGAGCTGGAGTCTTTGGGGCCACCCCAACGATCATATCAAGACTTGGCATCTCGCTCAACTCCCATTAGGAAGGGACTAAATCAGGCCCGAGTCCCTGGGCTGTAACAACAGAGAAAGGGACAACTCTTCCTTGGAGTTTTGTCCTCTTGAATGTGGCCCCAAGTCCTGGGCGGGCGAAGTCTGTAGCTGGCAAGAGATTCCTCAGGCAGAAAATTGGCCACACATCCAGGAGCACACACACGAACGTGTCCCAGGAAACAAGCTGGGGCGCATACTGTATTTTCCCTCTGCATTCTTTAACGCTCAGAGATTTATCGAGAAGCATTCGGTGCTCGTAGCTGTTTTGCAACGGCTAACACATCAGGTTCTCTTGCAGTATTGTGGTTTGCTCTGAGTTACGGGCAAAAAGTGAATGATGGAAAAGGAGAAAGCAGGGGAGGTTTGGAGACTACAGTGCACGTTAATGCAGCTTCTAAAGCGTGGAGGATGGGACGGAGGAGGAGCAGAATACGGAAAAAGAAGAAAGCTGAGGGAAAATATTCACACCAATGGGTAAAAGGGAAAAGGTGAGAAGCAATGGAGTAGCAGAGAGAACCAATGGATGGGAGAGGCGGAGGAAGAAGGGGGAGGGGCAGAAACCAATCCGGGAGCGGGGACGCGAGCGAGGGCGCGGCCCCGCGCGCTCGCTCCCCTCCCTCCAGCTCCACAGCTCGCTCCTTGCCCGGCTCCCGGGAGACGAGGGCAGGGGCGGGGCCGAGCCGGGCGCGCAGCGCGGGAGGCGTCGCGAGGTGAGGACGGCGGGGGCGGGGAATTGTGGGGCTGGCAGCGCGGGCGCGCGGGCGCGCTCCGGGTCCTGGCTGCGCCGCCACTCCGCCCCGGGCCGAGTGTGTGGCTTCGCGCGCGCGCGCGCGTTCCGGCGGTGCGCGCCGGGAGAGATGCTGAGGTAAAGTTCGGGAGAGAGGGAGAGGGATCCGTCAGCGCGAGGGAGCCCGAGTGGCCGCCATTACTGAGCCCGGCGCGGCGGCGGACGCAGGGGAAGGGGGGAGGGACGGGGCCACCGTTGGTGGCGGGGAGGGGGGCGGGCAGGTTATCAGGCAGCGGGAGCCGGTGGGGCTTAGGGTTTCTGGGCGTGTGTGTTGGGAGGGCGGGGGGAAGTGGCTGAAGGGACGCGGCGCTCGGTGAGCGCGCCGGGGACGAGAGGCGAGCAGAGAGTGGAGGAGGAGGCGGCGGTGGCGGGAGCGCTCCCCAGGAATGTCGCCGCCGCTGCCACCGCCGGGGCCGCTGCCGTTGAGGAGGAGACGGAGGAGACCGACGTTGTTAGGTAGGACCCTGCGACCCCGCACCTCGGGGCCTGCCCGCCCCCTCCCCGCGAGGACCCTCCCGCCGCCGGTTGTAACCAGTTCCAGGGCTGGGGCCCCGCGGCCGCGGAGGGGAGCCTGGTGCCGCTTCGGTCCTCGCAGGCCGGGCGGGAGCGGCTGCCGCGGCACAAGTACGGTCGGCGTGAAGGGCAGAGAGGCCGGGCGGAGGGCGCCTTCTCCACAGGTGACGGGGCTGGGGTCTGCGGAGGCCTGGCGGCGGCCCGGGATCACGCCGGCCCTCCGGGCGTCCGCTCTCGCTCGCCGCCCTCACTTGCCCTGGTCTCGTAGGGTGCCTAGGGAGGGAAGGTGGGCCGGCTTGCCGCTGCTGCTGCTAACGAGTTCCACCCGGAAGGGGGAGAGGGGATGGGCGCAGATTCGCGAAACCTGATCTTGGTTCCAAACTTAAACGCATTTCTGGGGGATCGGCCCTTTCACTTTTTCCTTATCTCCCTGACTCCTCCCTGGTTTCTCTTCACCAGATTCCCATCTGCTGTTAAACCTTGGGGTAGGCTGTGAGAAGTTGCGCTGCGCAACTAAAACACTTCAGTCTTGTTAGTTGACTGTGATCGGGTTGGGGTTTTGATATTGAGGGTAACCTTTGGAGTCTCTGTTTCCACTGAAGAAAAGTATCGGGGTGGGGGTGGGGAGCTGCGCGGGAGCGCGCGTGCACTTATCTACACATAAATACACACACACGGCTCCCTCGCAGCCTCCCTCCTGGCGTTCGTATTGCAAGTGAGGTGGAGGCCCTGGGTGTAGCTGAGGCTGTAAGGTACTTGGATATGAGGGCAAGCTATTTGGACTGCTAGTTCCAGAAAGTTACCGCGGAGAAACTTGACTTTTACCGTACAATACCAATTCAGTTCTGGCCGATGCCTAATGGAAATCTAAATGTTTTAAATCGAGACCGAAATAATTATGTACATGGATTTGTGTGCGCGTTTTAAATTTGCATAATTTACTTTTTCCTTTGAAATAGGTGGGAAACAATGGCAACGTTTCAAATATTCAGATGTAAAACATTGAAATACCTCTATTTGCATATACAGTACTGCCTTCTACAGGTGTTGGGGCAGGGGGTTAGGGTACCACTTAAATCCAAAACAAATTTTCAATTTGAACAGGATGTTAGGGATGTTTCTCGGTATTTGAGGCTGTTAGTCACTTCGTAGAAGAGTTCTCTGAATCAATTTTAAAAATAGTTCTAAACAAAATTTCATCTAGATTTAACTGCTTGGAAGAATATTTTGGTTTAAGAATAAAACTGGTAATATGTGTTTGGAAGTGTTTTCCTGTCAATTCGTTTACTTGTACTTTAATATGCTAATGCTTAGTATGTTCAGATATGCATACTAACAGTGTACTTACAACATAGACAACTAGACAGTTTTTCAGAGTAAAATTTTCTTTCATTTTGAATTTTTTTAACTGTTATTTGTTCTTTGTAATTGACCCGGATTTCTAGTATCTGTATAGAGGCAGGGCGTGTTTAATTGTGGGTCACTAAAAACTTGGAAGGCAGTAGGATACTAAGAATAAACATTGTATTGAAAGGCTAGGTATGCAGGTACTTCTTAATTTTAAAGAGCACTATTGATATGATTGATTTAAAGCAGCGTTAGACTACAGATTATTAGATGACTATTGATTAGGTAGTAGTATGTAGCCTACATTTTTTAAACCCAGATCAGCTTGTCTTATTTTACGATTCTTTGTACATTAATTATTAAGAATTGGGAAAATTAGTTACACTTTGATGTAAGAATTGGCAAAGAATTGTGTTATCTTTGTCGGTTTTTTTTAGTGTCTCACCTCCCTCTCATTGAAACTACTTTAACAACTTAAAGTGTGATGCAAAGTAGTGTCTTAATTCTCTCAGTTGGTACTTACCACAGATGTTTTGAAAAGCATCTTAATTCTTCCCTCTTTTTGTTTGAAAGGCTGATTTATTAGTGTACTTGTTTTAGAAGAAATGAATTATATTGACCTTCAAGGTTAAGATTTTCTAAGGAATCAAATACTATTTTGTATTCCATTTTTTGGATTTGAAGTTATGGTACAGCTTAGAATAACGACTGCCTGCTTGCAAGGCAGATGCTTATACCACTGAGCTAAATCCCCAGCCCCCTAGAATAACAATTTTATAACTCAGTCTTTTAATTGAAGAAAAAGTTTGTTTCATGAAGACTGCTACTAAACCTTTTTAGCATTAGTGGGATATACAATACATCTTGCTTTAGTATTCAGACTGTATTAAGTGATGTAATAGGAAATTTCTTGGTTTCTACAGAATAAGTTTTATCACAACTTACGTTTCTATAGGTAAAACTTGATTTGGGCTAGCTATAAAGTTTTTGCTTTGTTTTTTAACATCAAAGTGTGCAGATAGTGATTGACTTGAGAATCAGTGTACTTATTCCTAAAAGACACTTGTAATAGACATTTAAAGTACACCAGGGGAATTTGATTTTCAGAGAAACTAGTTCAATGCCAAGAGTTTTAAATATAAATCTTAATTGGTTTTCAAACTGTATTCCATGATCCCTGTGGGTTTTTCCCCATTGGATTCTTTGATGATACTTTCACCCTTCCAAACCAAGACAGCTTCTGTTTTTATCTGTTAAATATGTTGTACTTTAAACGTCTTTTTAAAAAAAAAATATGGCTGCATTTTAAAAAAATGTTAAAACCTCTAATTTGCTCATTCAAGTTACCTTTGTGTGGCACTTACTGTGTGCTTGGCTCTGGGAATATAAAGATAAATTAGATATGAGAGTAGCTCAAACTTTTGTTTGGAGAGTACTGAGAGGTGCAAAAAAGAGCAGCTATTTCTACCAAGTGTTTCAGCTACAAGTAGGAGTTTAAGAGAGATAAAGATGGACTTTTATTTTTCAATGTGTTTTGGAAGCTAACTGTCCACAATAGATGAGATAGGCAGTGAAATGAAACAGTTATTTCAAATTATTTTTAATGTCTTAGAATTAGCCTATTACTTGGGGCAAAGTTATATATAGCTCTAATTTTATGGTTAAATTATGACTTACTATGTGTCACTTGGTTCAGCTTTCAAGCTTTTCAATATGAAAAGTTAATAGTAAAAGTAAGTTTTCATTTTTCTAGCTTGAGATAAGTTCAGTCTATTTTGTTATCCTAGACCATTTTCTATTGAACAACTGAGCATTGTGAATGATACAAGAAAGTATAAAGTTTTACTCCCTTATGATGGAACTTAAAGGAGATAATACTTGAAGGTCTAGAATTGGGATAGTGTATATGTGTGTGTAGTTGGGGACATTTAGGTATTTACTGAAAGCATGAATGAAAAACACTGGAGAAGTATGGGACAGATTGGCAAGTGAGAAGAAAATATAGCTTAAAAACATCAGTTTGTACCCTATTAAGTCAAGGCAAGGATATGTAACGGATAATGGAGAAATAAATATTAGGTAGTCTATCAAAATTGCTGTATTGATATTAATAAAGAGCCTTGGTTTCTGAGGTGGTATTGTTTGTCCATTTCCTTCCTGTTTATAATGTTCTCTTAGCGTTGCAGAATTGTTCGCATAGCCAAGATAGCACCTGCTTATAAATTTTTATTAAGTTGTTTTTTGGTTGACTGCTTAGATAGCTAGTAGAAAATTAACATTCCTATTATTGAGATGTTGCATGATTCAGATTTCAGTTCTTCTGAATTGTTAACTAAGTACATATATACAAAAAAGAGGTTATGTGTGTGTGTATATATATACACACTTAAATAGAGAAGTATATTGTATGTATGTATATATATGTGTGTATGTACACACACACAGTTAATAAAGAAGTGTGTAACTCCTCAGATGTTTCCAAGAATATTTTTTGGTGAGGGGTACTGCAAATTAAACGCAGGACCTGGTGCTTTGCTAGGCAGGCATTGTGCCGCTAAACCTATGTCCCCAGCCCCGTTTCTGAGGATATTAACTGGTCTCTCACATAATTGCTAAAGTTTAGCATCTTAAAGTTTACTCACCTTGATCTTTCCTTTTTTCATTACTAAAATTTCATTTGTCTTTAGAAATAGTGCTTGAAGTCAGGTGATAATCAACCTCTATTGCTAAAAGTGATACATTTTCATTACAAAACTGATTTGTTTTTTATTTCTCGGTGATAGCCACTCATCAAGCTCAGAATTGGATTTCTCTTTTCAGTTCTATTATGACATTCAGATGTTTTAAGTGCCAATATTTGTCTGTTACTTGGTTTTTGTGCCCCACCAGATTCAGTCTGTTACTTATTACAAGGTGTAACTCCTGTTTGCCCATGAAAATGATAGTTATATTTAGTTTTCCAACTTCTTACTTTCTAGTATTTATGTTATGTTTAATCACTTCACCCTCATCACACTAAAGTCTCTCCTACTTTTCAAGGTTCACTCAAAACCTTTCTTTTCAGTGAATCTCTGCTTCGGGGGTTTGTACCCAGGAATTTGGCTCCTTTGGACCAAATCTTGCGTGGTACCTAATTTTAAGATAGTTTGGGAGAGAATTGTGAGTGTACTACTTATGATTTGTAAAAGTTATATGAAGTTCAAAATTTTGCATCCCTAAAGTTTTACTGTGATAACTGTAGTCATTTAAATACTGTCTGTGGTATAGTGTGCAAAGCCTAAAATTTTTGCTGCTTAGGTCTTTACAGAAAAAAGTTTTCCATACCCTGATCTATCTGAGCTTGACTTATCATTTCTTTAAATTCCTATTGTATTTATCAACTCCATGGTCTGGCATATTGCCTTTATCTCTTCTGCTATGGTACCATAAAGATTATTAAAAATACGATGGGGAACGTTCTCTTCATTTTTCTACCCCTCCCCTGAATTCATTATTTCTGTACCCTTTCCTGTGATCATTTGACCTTTTAATGTTCCCATCATCAGGTGTTCCATCTTTTAAAAAAATTGTCAAAACTTAGCTACTTTTTTTACATA